AAAATAAATAAATACACAAACTTTATATATTTATTAATTTTTAAATAATAATAATAATGAGTCTTTGTAATCTTTTCACAACTTACTGTTTCTATAAAACAATAGCAAAACAAATGTTATTATTATTATTATTTTTTTAATTCAATGTTCTTTATTAGTCATGCACGAAAATCAGTAACCTAAAGCATTGAAGTTGTTTGTTTTACACATATTATGCATACGTTTGTACTATTATACATATGTAAATTATGTATCAGTAACCAACTTTCATAATTCAATTTTGGCTCAGAAATTGAGGTACCTAAACCCAAAAACCACACGGACTGATCTAAACATACGATTCTAAAAGAATGGATTAGACAATCATTTAATTTTAAAATTATACATATTATTTATGCAACTTTAATGAAAAATAATGAGTTCCTAAACCGTTAACTCTGATACCACATGTAAACTATTAATTCATGTTAAGCCATTAATCACAAATTTACATGAATTCCATATCTTAAAACTTCATGATTTTTCACATATCTATAATGCATAAAGAAATACTAGTTAGATATAAATATCTCGATTCACGATATCAATTCTTGTTGAGATTAAGTCCAACGTCCAAATCCTTTGGCCAGGAACTAATCTGCAACTCTGATCAACAGGCAAAGGTGGAAACTGGTTTCTCTCTCTTGACCTTTTGCACACATAAAACTTTTACGTGTTGTTTCATTAATTGTACATAATTGATGGAATATATGCACTTTTATAAAGGCAGAGAGAGGACCAGTTTTCTTTATAGTAACATAATTCTACTTTCCATCAAAGTAAGGAATAAGAAAGGAAAACACTTCTCCAATAAGTAATTACCAAAAAGGTAATTATAAGTTGACCACAAATAAATAATATTAATTGATATATATTTACTTATCCACCAAGTAATATGTCACATGTCCAAATCATGTGGGCCACAATCAAATAAATAATCTTACAGTTGAAACATTGTTGGCGTCTTTTTTTGTTTTTAAAACTTGTGTACCTTGATAATACATCGGTTTCATTTTTTTTCATAATTACATCGGTTTCATTTAATAACAAGTTTCTATCTTTTCGTAATTTTTTCATGCTTCTTTTATGTAGGTTTGTATTTTCTGAAACATGTTTCTCCTAATCTAGATATCAATCCATGAACTTCATGACTTCTATGATAAAAGAAAGTAATTTTGGAATTATTCTTGTGAGCTATAATTTCTCTTAAATTCTTTATGTTTTAAACTTGGTAAGAAAGTGACAGTCCCACATCAGAATTGAACCCTCAACTTTCTACTTTAGAGGTGAAAAATACCACCAGACTACAAACTTTGGTGGTTTCTAGAATTGTTTGTTTGTTGCATTATTATTATTTTTATTATATATTCTTAACAGTAATTACTTTCTTTGCATTTGATTTTGTTTCTTTGATATTGCCATTTTCTATTGCATAATTTAATAGTACTAATACAAAAAAAGGGAAAGAAAAAAGGGAAAATTACATATAAATGGAGTCAAAGTTCCATATTTACTTAGAGGCTGAGTCAAAGTTCCATATTTCTCTAAAATGGATTGCTGAGGTGGCACATGGTTTTTTACTGTTTAAAAATTGTGGTGCCTAAAATACCCTTCCGCGAAGGTACTACTTTTTCTTCGAAGGTACTACTTTTTTGAATTGAATGTACTACTTTTTGGTGTCCAGGTACCATGTTTTTTAAACACCCGCGAATGTACTACTTTTTATCCGAAGGTACTACTTTTTTGAACTGAAGGTACTATTTTTTTGAACTGAAGGTACTCCTTTTTTGTTAGGGAAGGGCACTTTAGGCACCACAATTTTCTAAACAGTAAAAAACCATGTGCCACCTCAGCAATCCATTTTAGAGAAATATGAAACTTTGACTTAGTCTCTAAGTAAATATGGAACTTTAACTCCATTTATATGTAATTTTCCCAAGAAAAAAAGTCTGTCTTCATGTGTTGTGTTGTATCCCAATTTCTTATGGCTGCTGCGGAAAATTATGTTTCGGTGGTTGTTACGGTCATTGTCTAATTGTTGTAAATACATGGCAGTTAATATCCATTGTTGAAGGGATTGGGTTGTAGTACTGAATAAAATAAATTATTTTCAGGGAAGAAAAGTGGAAAGCTAGCCAAGGGAGGATAATAAAGAAATAGTCCTTTCCTAGGGGCAAAGTACAACTATGAGCAGCACTACTAAATTGTGGAATAGTCCTTTCCTTGGGGCAAAGTACAACTATGAGCAGCACTGCTAAATTGTGCATACCATCTATGCATTTCTGTGTTAAAGATTGGTTGCAAATATAACTTAAGGTTGGCGGTTTGTGTGAGGCTGGTATATCTTTCATTTTGCTTCTAAATTTATTTAAATTATGGATATGAAATGATAGCAGCTTACTGGCCTATTTGGCTAGTGTTTTTGTTTCGTGTTTTTTGCTTGTACTTGTGTACTGTAACGAAATAAAAGCACGAAACATGTTTGGTAATATTTGTTGTCATTTGAATAATACCGAAGAGTTTCCAAAATTAAGGCCAAAATCAGAAGCATCAAAATGATGTTTTTGTTTGCTTCTGCACCGTAACAGAGCACTATCCTAATTTTTTATTTTTTTCTAAAACAACATTTTTTTAATAACCTTTCAAATTTTTAAAATTGCAACACATTTTACCAAACATGCTTTCATGTTTTTGCTTATAAAAATTTTGTAACAAATTCATATTACCAAACAAGTTTCTGAATAGTGTTGAATTCTAAAACAGAAATATTGCTTCTGTTTTGAGTCAAAGCAAAATCACAAAACAATTGTGGTTGCCAAACGGGCCTATATGAATTAGAATGAATTATGAATTAGAATGTTAGCAACTCAAGGTTGACAGTTTATGGGGACTAGAAGTATTATATTTGTTTTGGTGAGCTTTTTTGAGTTTTTGATAGCAGTTCTTTCCTTCTCTTATTAGATTTTCTTTTATTGAATTTCAATATTTTCTACAACTATATTATTAAGTAAATTAATGTATTGAAATGCTGAAACTTATTTATAATTGAGAAAGAGTTTTAAATGTAATATAATGAAAAGAAAAAGTAAATTGCTATGGTAAATTTTTACTATTATTAAATGTATATAAATAGAAATAATTAAATAAATAATTTTTTTAATATTACGTATTTTCCTTCTTTAATTACATATCCTTTTATTAAATAAATAGTGTAATATAATATATTTATTTCTCTAATTAGATTTATTTTTTATTGAATGATGATAAATAATTTCTTTAATATTATAAATACATTATAAATAAATGTCTTTTCTAATTCTGTTTCTCTTCAAAGTATTTTTTAATTCCATTTCTTTTATTCCTAAATAATTTAGTCACCGAGTTCTTTCCTAATTCTATTTTTTTTCTAATTATAATAGTATTTTTTAATTATACTTCTTCTATTCCTTAAGGTCATTTTTAAATCTATTTCCTCCAATTTTATTCTATTTATTTTATGTTTTTATTTTAATTGGTAACTTATGTTTGTATTTTAATTGTTTGAAATAGAATATAATGAAAAGAAAAAGTAAATTACTATGGTAAATTTATACTATTATTAAAAGTACATATAAATAAAAATATATATTTTTAATATTACATATTTTCTTTCTTTAATTAGATTTCCTTTTATTAAATTAAATAAATAAAATTTTTAAGATTATATATTTCTTTTTCTAATTAGATTTTTTATATTGATTAATAATAAATATTTTTTAATATTATAAATAAAAGTAATTTAGTCTCCCACATCTTTTGTAACGTCTTTTCTAATTCTGTTTCTTCAAAATAATTTTTAATTTTATTTCTTCTATTCCTAAAGGTCTTTCCTAATTATGTTTCTTCTCTGACCCAAACGGCCGTTTATATTATTTATTATTTATTTATCTTTTAACGTAAAATTTTAATTTATTAATATTAATTCATATATTAAAATAATTATTAATTAATACATTTTTAGAGTTCATTAAATTATCATTAACTAATTACATTAATTAATATTTTCTTTGTATATATATATATATATATATATATATATATATATATATATATTCTACGGATTGGATCGAATTTTTAATACCGTGATCCGATCCGTGAGTACCGATTTGATTTTTTTGAATTTGTCACCGATCCGTAAGTATAACAATTTGATCCAATTCGCACGGATCGAATTTACGGATTATTTGTCCACCTCTAACCTTTAGGCCAACAAAATTACAGAGAAAACCAAACAATCCATTTACCTTTAAAAAAAAAATATTAAAGCATAAAGCGTCAAAAATAAAACAAAGTCAACTTAACAAAACCACTCTCCGAGATATATAAAAATAAAATAAAATAAAGTAAATTGAACTGTGTACATGAAAAATAGAGTAGAGTGGGACTGAGTGGAGTGTTTGGGTACATGAATAACAGTATCCGTGTTTGGTTAATGTTATATAGGAAAACCACCAAAAAAAAAAAAAAAAAAAAACCAACCAGAAGATAGATTAGTCATTCATTCACTTATTTGGGATTGTCAGCCCCTGTTAAAGGTCTCACTGAAATTTTTTAAATGTGAGGGGTCTTCTTGATGTATTGACAAAACACTAGGGGCGTAACTAAATTTAACCCAAGAGAGAAAAGAATCACACATTTGTATCCATTTAGGCATATCTTGGAATGAAACCAATAGAAGCATTTAATAATTTCTGGTTTTACATAACCACTAGTTATCTCTAGGTAGATCAAGTGTTATCTCTAGGTAGATCAAGTGTGAAATTTCTTTTCTTTTTTTCTAAATTTAAGGGACGTTGCCCAGTTTTGGTCCCACTAGAGCAAGGTCTAAGGAGGGATGAATGTCAAACATGGTTGAGAACTTTTAAGTATTTTGGTGAAGCCAAAGAACCACTTGTATCATATTGCAAACTTGTTAAGCTTTTACAAAAAACTTATCTTCTACAAGTAAATTGATCAACAAATGATGGAGAGACATCCCTCTAGCCCTTTGATACATGTCTAGAAGGAAGCGAACGCAACCCTTGAAGCACACTTCCCATCAGGTAGCAACAGGGCACTCTATAATGTTTGATCCAGAAGTGTCCACACATATATATCTGGTAAAGTTGGGTGTTACCAAATGCATCTACATTGCATTCTATTCCAGGAGTGTGCCCAATTTCATCTCTTAGATCAGTTATTATGTTGTTTAAGCTATAAAATACCCCGTCTAGTTGAATCCCTATAAATTTTGGGAAAAAAATAGAATTTAAACAAATGTAAACGAAATTGGTGACCATATAAACTGATGCTAGAACTAGTGATCACCTAAAAATAGTGTTCACCTGCATTAACATGTATATGACATATGGACAAACTTCAAATTGAAAATTAATATATGAAACAACTGCACATTTGGTTCAAAACTTGGCAGACAAAGAAACTCAGACTCTTGGAGTCCTGTCCCTCAAATGATCCGAGTGTATGCTGAGAAGACCACCCCATTACTAACGGGGTATGACACCTTCGCTTCATTCCCTGCGGATCCAACTGTTTTGTAATCATTACATATATAACAGATAATACAGAATGGCTACTAGTACTTTGAATTTGTTGGCAAATATCAGCCCAGGTAATAAAGAATGGCTACTAGTACTTTGAATTTGTTGGCAAATATCAGCCCAGGTAATACTGATATTTGCCAACAAATTCAAAGGTGGCTACTAGTAGTCATACTGTATTATCTGTTGGGCTGATATTTGCCAACAAATTCAAAGGTGGCTACTAGTAGTCATACTGTATTATCTGTTATATATTTGTGTGTATATCTAATTACAAAACAGTTGCATGCGCAGGAATGAAGCGAAGGTGTCATACCCCATTAGTAATGGGTCTAATGGGGTGGTCTTCTTAGCATACACTCAGATCATTTGAGGGGCAGGACTCCAAGATTTAGTTTCTTTGTCGGCAAAGTTTTGAACCAAATGCTCAGTTATCCTCCATTTCCTTCAGCCCAAATTGGTGGAGTAGGATGGACTTGATGTCGTTTACTGCCTTCACTGATTTCTCGCAGCCAACACTCTCCTTCTTTTGCACTTCAGTGTCTCTATCAGCTTTTTGTTCATTAAACTTTGAATTTTTTTTGTGCAGTATGCTATAACCCATCAATTGAGATGTGGAGTATCACCATATCAAGTTTAAATCTTATGTATAATGCCCCAGAATCTGAAGCATACAGCAACAAAGAACAATCACAAATACTACATAAGCAAATAAACGAGTAATGTAGCAGGCACTTTGAATTTAATATACCTTCTTTCACTATCAATAGAGAGGGGGAAGGCACAGAAGCCACCTCAGGCGTTGCATAGCAGAGCTGACTTTGATCACTGATGCCATGATTTCTACAACAAAACATAATGGAACACAATTAGCTCAAGGAAAGCTCGACTGACAAAAACTAATCCTCCTATCACCACAAGTCAACAACCGAATAGCTAAGCACCGTTTTCTTCTTCCTTTCTTTCCTACTCTTCTTTTTTTTTATTGGGATTTTGGAGGGAGTGCCCGCGGGAGCGAGGGTGGGGGTGGGTAGGCAAGGCAATTTCAAAGGTGCATGTTACATATGAAAACAACATTAATTATGGCTCCTAGATAGGCCGATAAATACGAGCTTAAATAAATACTGATGCAGGAATTAGAAAATTTTTAGCAATGCAACAAATTCCCTTCGAACATTACAAAAATTTATTGAGTCATTCGTGTAAGAATACGGTGGTCTTATTATAATAATTAATCTTACTTTTTTATTTAAATTGTTTTATAATTATCCATATTGGAGATGTAACGTTGTATCTTTTGAATACTGTTTATTTTATAACAGTTATCTAATTACAGAGGGATGTGTTGGTTGATAGAACCAACATGTCTTCTCTTGGCAATGCTTAGAAACGGTCCCAACCCTCTATATATATACGTGAAAGAAAGGCCTGAAACCATGGTTCAGTTTCACAGATAAAGGTAGAGGGTTGAAGAGTGTTTCTGTGTTGTGAAGTGTTTCTGTGTATCAAGTGTTTGAAGGTAGCACCCATTGTCTAGTGTGTTCAGAATCTAATTTAGCCATTGTTTCGCCAAATACTTGGTGGATTGATTCCGGGGCTACTATTCATATTTCTAATTCCTTGCAAGGATTCATAAGGAGTTGGAAAATCAATCCCAACCAAAAGACACTCACCATGGGTAATGGGGTAGAAGCACAAGTTAAAGCTGTGGGAGTTGCTCGTTTTGTCCTTAGTAGTGGTTTTGTATTAGAGTTAGAAGATGTTTTGTATGTTCCTTCAATGTCCAGAAATTTAATTTCTGTACCTAAACTTGATATGTTGAACTGAGTGTTTCTGTGTTGTGAAGTGTTTCTGTGTATCAAGTGTTTCTATAATAGTTGTTGTCAAACACAAACGGCTAAAAATGGCAGGTATGTTTCTAAACAATATTTATGTATTAGAACCATGTATTTTAAATATCGTTGAATTTGCTTACATGTGGTATCAGAGCCTCACACGGACTCTAATGCATAAATTTATTTTTGATATTGCGTATGAAATTTCTTGGCTGTATATATTATTAGTACAGTATGCCATATATGTGTTTGAGATAAAAAGGGACACTGATATATATTGTGGATGAAATAATTCTATATTACTCTACATCTTATGTTTATATATATATATATATATAAACATATATATTATTGGTTTTGAATTCTATCACTCTATTTCTCTATTTCATGCATATGAATAAAATAGACAAAATATTGATATGTGTATAGAATATACTAAATATATATTTGTCAACTTTATCTTAAATTCATTGTTTGGTATTTGATATATAATAATTCTTTTAAACAGTATGAATTTTACTATTTGAATATATGTCCATATGTCAAATTAATGATTATATATAGATATATATTGTTTAACCCAAGTGTCGTACAGTAAAGTAATGACGGAAAATAATGCATGGTTTTATAATTGTTGATCTAAAGGTTGTTATATATACATATATATATATATATATATATGGGTCATGTGTATGTCTATACAACAGTGATGTAAAAGTCTTAAAAAAAAAAAATGATATTTCTTTTACTTTTGTTATCCTTTGCCAATTAAAGTTATTATAATGGATTAATTAAATTGGATATTATTTTATAAATGTATTGAAATTGGCAACATATACATTATTATGCATATTGCCTTAAGTTTATATTGATGCATATTGTGTATATATATATATTAGATTCATTTGGGAAAATTGAATCATTTTAAATCTTAAGCACAAATGTTAATGAAATTAGATTGGGTGTTTAGTCACCAAAGTGACACACTCATGATAATTTCAATAGTATTTGAGGCTAGTGGTAAAATTATGTTTTTGCTAAAGTTGAAGGATTTGAGTTGCGTTTAGTAGAGACGAGCAATAATCAAACCCAAAGGTGGATTATTGAGATTTGTCTAATTAAACGGATTGAGATAATTAATGTAGAATATATAATAGATAATATACTATTCCCAAAGGAATTTATTTTTGATATTGTATTATCTATGATTAATTAGTCTCAAATGTGAAATTTGTTTCACTAGTGGGAGACTAACATTTAATAATATTGGCCCAAAAGAAATATTGTTAAATGTGAAGTTGATCCTATTTGGGATCAATTATTTTGAGGCATTACTTATTGATTCTGGAAAGTTTGATTGTTTTTTCCATCAATTAAACTATATAATTGTGGCCTTAATTCTTTTGATGTTTTTATTTTTATTCCATAACAGTTGGTTCATTACCGTGTGTGAAGGCCCTGACTGGGTCTAATTTCTCGGACTGGAAAGATGAAATAATTTTTAATTTGGGACTTGGGGATTTAGACTTAGCCATTAGGTCAGATGAACCACCTAAGCCTATAGACACTAGTGGTGCAGAGGTGAAAAAGGAATGGGATAAATGGGACAGGTCTAATAGACTTAGTCTAATTTATATTAAGAATAATATTCCTAAATATATTAGGGGTGCCATTCCTGATAAACCATTGGCTAAGGATTACCTTAAGACTCTAGAAGAACATTTACTATTTCAACTAAGTCACTGGCTAGCACTCTTATGACCCAATTAGTAACCGCAAAATATGATGGTCTTAGTGGTGTGCGTGAGCATATCATGAAAATGACTGATATTGCATGCCAATTGAAAAATCTGGATATGGAAGTTAGTGACTCCTTTCTAATCCACTTTATTATGACTTCTCTTCCTGCGCAATTCGATATTTTTAAAACTACTTATAATGCGCAGAAAGATAAGTAGAAATTAACAGAATTAATTAGTATGTGTGCACAAGAGGAAGAGCGAACCCGACACAATAAGCCCGATATGGCACACATTGTGGATCGGAAAATAGTTAAGAAAAATAATAAGAAAACTGGGAAAAGGGGTATAAAGGTTAATGATGTTGGACAGGCACATAAAGTGGGGAAAAAGAAAGTTCAATGCTTCTGGTGTCACAAGCGAGGCCATGTCAAAAAGGAATGCTTTAGTTACAAAAACTGGTTAGCAAAGAAAGGTAGCACCCATTGTCTAGTGTGTTCAGAATCTAATTTAGCCATTATTCCGCCAAATACTTGGTGGATTGATTCCGGGGCTAATATTCATATTTCTAATTCCTTGCAGGGATTCATAAGGAGTCGGAAAATCAATCCCAACCAAAGGACACTCACCAAGGGTAATGGGGTAGAAGCACAAGTTAAAGCTATGGGAGTTGTTCGTCTTGTCCTTAGTAGTGGTTTTGTATTAGAGTTAGAAGATGTTTTGTATGTTCCTTCAATGTCCAGAAATTTGATTTCTGTACCTAAACTTGATATGTTGAACTATGAATTCCGTTTTAGTAATCGTAATATCAATATATTTTATGATTCCAAATTTATTGGTTATAGTTCATTAGTTGATAGTCTTTATCTTCTAAAACTTGACCCAATTTTTTCACATTCTCTTTTGTCTTTTAATGTGAGTACCAAACGTAGTCTCACCAATGATTCTTCTTCTATGTTATGGCATAGGCGTTTAGGTCATATCTCTAAAGAGAGATTAGAGAGATTGGTTAAAGAAGGTGTTCTGAACACATTAGATTTTTCAAACTATGGCATATGCATTAATTGTGCTAAAGGAAAGTTAACCAAGTCTAGACATAAGGGTGCTACTAGAAGTAATGGCCTCTTAGAGCTTATACACACAGACATATGTGGTCCTTTCATTCCTGCTACACTAAATGGGAAGAAATACTTTATTACATTTATTGATGATTATTCTCGTTATGGTTATGCGTACTTAATTGGTGAGAAATCTGAGGCACTGGATATTTTTAAAATTTATAAGACAGAAGTCGAGCATCAGCTTGATAAGAAAATTAAAGTAGTACGATCTGATCGTGGTGGTGAATACTATGGAAGGCACGTTCATACAGGTCGTAATCCAGGGCCATTTGCTAAGTATCTACAAGAGTGGTATAGTTGCGCAGTACACCATGCCGGGTACCCCTGAGCAAAATGGTGTAGCTGAACGAAGAAATTGCACTCTTATAGATATGGTGCGAACTATGATGAGTAATTCATATTTATCAGATTTTTTGTGGGGTGAAGCTCTTAGGATTACTGCATATATCCTAAATCGAGTGCCGTCTAAGGCAGTCTAAAAGACTCCTTTTGAGTTATGGATAGGAAGAAAACCCAGTTTAAATCACTTGCGTATCTGGGGATGTGCAGCAGAGGCTAAATTATACAACCCATATGAAAGGAAACTTGATCCCAGAACAGTCAGTTATTATTTTGTAGGATATCCAGAAAGGTCAAAAGGTTATAGGTTTTATTGTCCATCACATAGTACCAAACTTATTGAGACCCTAAATGCTAGGTTCATTGAGGATGGTTATACCAGTGGGAGTATAGAGCCCAGGCACATGGTATTTGAGGAAAATCGAAATATAAATTTAGTTCCTCGGGATGACATAGTTGTCCCACTCGCTACCATGCAAGATGGTGATTTAAGTCATCAAGAGCCTGAAGAGCAAACACCTCACATAGAAGAAGTCTCAAATGAACCAATAGTTGACATGCCATTACGAAAATCAAGGAGAGAAAGGAAAAGTGCTATTCCAGATGACTATGAAGTTTATCTACAAGAGATTGAGTTCAACATTGGTAAAGAAGATGATCCACTATCATTTTCAGAAGCCAAAAATAGCACTTTTGCTCAACAATGCTCAGATGCAATGAAAGATGAGTTAAATTCTATGAATAATAATAAAGTTTGGGATCTAGTTGACTTACCAGAGGGAGTCAGACCCATTGGTTGTAAATGGGTATTTAAAACTAAACGAGACTCAAAAGGTAAAGTTGAAAGATATAAAGCCTGACTTGTTGCTAAGAGTTTTACTCAACAAAAGGGCATCGACTATAAAGAAACTTTTTCTCCTGTTTCAAAGAAAGACTCTTTTAGAATTATAATGGCATTAGTAGCTCATTTTGATTTGGAGTGACATCAAATGGATGTAAAAACTGCATTCCTAAATGGTGACTTGCTCGAAGAAGTTTATATGAATCATCCCGAGGGTTATGAAATTGAGGGCAAAGAACATATGGTGTGCAAGTTAAGGAAATCTATTTATGGGTTAAAACAAGCATCAAGACAATGGTACATAAAATTTGATGAGATAATTACTTCATATGGGTTTAAAGAAAATATTATTGATGAATGCATTTATATGAAATTCAGTGGGAGTATGTTCATTTTTCTAGTGTTGTATGTACATAAAATTTGATGAGATAATTACTTCATATGGGTTTAAAGAAAATATTATTGATGAATGCATTTATATGAAAGTCAGTGGGAGTAAGTTCATTTTTCTAGTGTTGTATGTTGATGATATCTTACTTACTAGTGGTGACATTGGCTTGTTACACGAGACTAAACATTTTTTATCTCAAAGTTTTGAAATGAAAGATCTTGGTGAAGCCTCATTTGTCATTGGCATTGAGATTCATCGAGATAGATCTCGTGGGATTCTTGGATTGTCACAAAAAGCCTATATAGAAAAGGTTCTTGAAAGATTTGATATGCAACACTGTAAAAGTGGAATTGCTCCTATAGTAAAGGGTGATAAATTTAGTAAATTTCAGTGTCCAAAAAATGACGTAGAGCGGGAACAAATGAAAAACATTCCCTATGCATCTGCAGTTGGGAGTTTGATGTATGCTCAGGTTTGCACACAGCCAGATATAGCAATTGCTATTGGTATGCTAGGCAGATACCAAAGTGATCCTGGCATGGATCATTGGAGAGCGGCAAAGAAAGTAATGAGGTACCTGCAGAAGACAAAAAACCATTTGCTCATATATAGAAGGACTGACAGGCTTGAAGTGGTGGGTTATACAGACTCTGACTTTGTTGGTTGTCAGGATAGTATAAAATCCACTTCAGGATTTATCTTCATGATGGTTGGAGGAGCAATTTCATGGAAAAGTATTAAACAAACATTAACAGCTTCATCCACCATGGAGGCAAAGTTTATTGCATGTTATGAGGCCACTTGTCATGCATTATGGTTACGGAACTTCATCTCAAGACTTATGGTTGTAGATTCTATTTCTAAACCATTGATGATTTTTTGTGACAATTCCGCTGCAGTTATGTATTCAACGAACAACAAGAGTTCAGGAAAATCTAGACATATAGATATTAAATACCTTGTTGTAAAAGAGAGGATTCAGAACCAACTTGTGTCTATTGAGCACATTAGTACACAACAAATGATCGCTGATCCCATGACTAAAGGGTTGCCGCCTAAGCTATACAGTGAGCATGTTGCTCATATGGGTATTATTGATAGCTTTGATTTACTTAGTTAGTGGGAGGTTATTTTTGACTCAGTTGTAGACACATTTGTATTTGTGATCACATTTTCTTATATTATATTATCCTCATTTATTTAGTTTTCCATATTGGTGCACGAGTGTATGGAAAAATTATAAGTGTCATTTATGAGACATGGTGTGTCCTTATTGAGACACGGTAGGACCGAAGCATGGCATAATATTTTATTGTTTAGCACATGCGGTGTTTATGTATAATCTTGAAGTTGAGTGTATTAATGTTTGTGACCATTGATGTCCTATATTATTAAATAATATAATGACATCCTTGATTCAATATTAATATACTTGTTAAGGACTTCATGAAAGTTGTTTGGTACAATGATTATCTAAATATAGATAATTTATTTAAAGTGTGCACATCAACATTACATCAAAATGTTTTTTATAAAAAAATAATAATAAATAATAATAATAATAAAGATTAACTATGATTATAAGACCAAGTGGGAGAATGTAAGAATACGGTGGTCTTATTATAATAATTAATCTTACCTTTTTATTTAAATTGTTTTATAATTATCCATATTGGAGATGTAATGTTGTATCTTTGGAATACTGTTTATTTTATAACAGTTATCTAATTACAGAGGGATGCGTTGGTTGATGGAACCAACATGTCTCCTCTTGGCAATGCTTATAAACGGTCCCAACCTTTTACATATATACGTGAAAGAAAGGCCTGAAACCATGGTTCAGTTTTACAGATAAAGGTAGAGGGTTGAGGAGTGTTTCTGTGTTGTGAAGTGTTTCTGTGTATCAAGTGTTTCTATAATAGTTGTTGTCAAACACAAACGGCTAAAAATGGCAGGTATGTTTCTAAACAATATTTATGTATTAGAACCATGTATTTTAAATATCGTTGAATTTGCTTACAATTTGAACATCCGTTTCTTATAGTATGACCCACACACTGGTGTCCAACGGAACTTGAACCATTGCAACTCCCCTTTGGGAGTGGTAGAAACTAACAGATTCCTCGGTTCTTCAAGTGTTTATAGCTTCACAACTCATCAAAACTAACATCTTATTCCCAAATACTGAGGTTACCAACACCAATCCTTTTTCACCACTCCATTGTATCAAAGCGACAATTAAAGATTTACCATCCTGTCATTTTTCTCACTATCATACTTTTTTTTCCAATATTCCTAGAATTTTGGTAGAGCTATTTCTTCACCTTTTGTTACTAGATCATTCATTGGTTTACATATAGGCCAACCTACTCAACAAGTTGAGGTTTACCACACCAGCCTTTTTTTTTTTTTTTTTCCATTCATTCACTCACTCCACAAAAGCCACATTTAGTAATTAATCATCAGGCCATAATTTTTTCTTTTTACTATCTCAGCCTCGTACTGTTTCATCTTCCTTTCATTTGTAAAACATTAAATTTCAACTGTTAATTTCTAACTAAAAGATAATCAACTTACTTTTAAGACCAAACCAAGTCAAACAATCTCCACTCAAATATTAATAAGTTATTACATTAGCGTTCCTGGCACCACTTGCACAAATGGCTAAAGTTAGAATTTGAATTTGTGTTCTCACATTTGACAACCCATGAATTTTAGCAATGCACTAAGCAACAGTTCCTAAATACATAATACCTATATATCTACTTAAATACAAACATAAATATATATATTTTTTATAAGTAAATACATACATAAATATGCATGGGAACACACAAGTACAAATATTCAATTACACTATATAAGAAAGTATGACCCAAGCAACACCGTAAGAATTCAGGAATCAAACTAAATTAAGTTTTGGTATGAGACTATACAAGATAAAAAAAATACAGGACTCGTCATTGTCAAAGTATTGCTATTAAGAATAATAATTAAAAGAGGAAGATAAGTTATAATCTAAACCATTAACCTTCATTGGGATTTTTAGACAGGAGTCAGTATTTCACACATATGGCAGAAGGTAGAGTAAATTGCAAAAATCAAATTTTAATGTCTCATTATTCTTACATCAATAACGAAATTAAATTTGCTTTTCTAAACTTTGTGGAATCAATTTGTTGCTTATCTTATTTTATAGCATGTTCCATCGTAAGTTGTGATATATATTGTAGCATACCCAAGGCCAACTAAATACTTCATAGGCAGCTAATTGCAAAAAAATCCATGTACTTTTAAACTTTTCCAACACAGCCTCTAAAACTATCAAAAAAAATTGCAATCAATCCGTTATCGTCATCTCTCTATTAACAGAGACATCAATTTATCAAAGTGACCTAAACTTTGCTTAAATAAGAAATGAAAGAGAAAATAAAAAATAAACACAATCAATCCGGTATTGTCAAGTCCCTATTAACAGAAATAAGAAATGAAACAGATAATAAAAAATAAACAAAACTTACTTTTCCCGACACTACTCATGCCATTTGGAGACCATTAGCTTAAAAAATATAAGCATGTCATTTCACTTTTGAAAATTTTCAAAACTTAATTAAATATTTACAAAGCATTTTCAAACGATTAAAGATTTCAATGTAAAATATGATTCCATGTTGTCTGAAAAAGAAAATGTAGTAATAGTGTTTTTTGATGCGGCCAAGATCTTCTCAGATCGCATCAATAGCACTCGCAGCTCCACCATTTGTGTCATTTGAAAGAAACAAAAAAAGGAGATAAAAAGAAAGCTAACCTTGAAGTCGTTGCAGCATGATGTGAGTGAGAGTATGATTCACAATGCGACCGCCGACGAGTATGCTTTGCTGTTCGCCGTCGAAAAGAAAGGAAGAGCTCACGGTGGGGATCGTGGCTAGGGTTTTGTTTTGGAGGAGGCTGAAAATGATGGGTATGGTAACTAGGGTTTTTATATACAGAGGATCACCCATTTGTATCCTTGTATAGGGCAGCGGTTGGAATGAAACCAATAGAAGCATTTAAAATTATCAGCCGTAGGATGGCAATTTCTCCATTCCCGCCGGGTCCCGTCCCGCCCCTTTTATGGCGGGGATGGGGACTCTTTTATGTAAACAAGGATGGGGATGGGGATAAGCTTTGAAAACCCGCCGGGGTTGAGACCGGGGCCTGGGATGGGGTAAATACGCCCCGCCCCGATTATGTTATGAATTTACTAAGATACCCTTGCCCATATTATTATATTTACCATATATACTGGATATATACATACCATATATGTTAAAACCCTAAAACTAATTCCAAAGTCAGATCCGTCTCTTTCTTTCCTTTTCCTTCTCTCTCTCTTTCTAATCGACGACAACAACATCGGCTCTTCCCCGTCCTTTCCTAATCCGTCTCCGGCATGGGCTCTTCCCTGTTGCTCTGAATCTATCATTGGCGTCGGCTTTTCCACCTCACCGGCGTCGGCTCTTCCCCTTCTGATTCCATATTTAATTTTGTTCATATGCATATGCAAGTGTCTGTGTGTGTGTGTGTGTGTATATATATATATGTATCTGGAATCTCAGATTCAAAATCAATATATACATATATATATATATATATATATATATGTATTGATTTCAAATTCTGATGTGTTTGGTTGTGTATGTATCTATATTATATATATATATATATATATATATATATATATATATGTATTGATTTCAAATTCTGATGTGTTTGGTTGTGTGTGTATCTATATATATATATATATTTGGATAGTACAAATTACTCCTTCATATGCATATTGGGGGCGATTTTTTTTTTTTTTTTCCTGGAAGTGTGAATTTGTGATGTTGAGAATCCTGATATTGAGAATTAGGAAAGCTTAATCGGGGGCGGGGCGGGGAGGATGGTGGCGGGGACAAGGGCAGGGATGGGAGTGGGATTGAAATTTTGGCGGGGTATGGGGGCGGGGACGGGGGTGAAAATTTTGGCCGGGTATGGGGATGGGGATGGGGAATGAGATCCCAGCCCCATCCCGCCCCGTTGTCATCCCTAGCCGTCTGATTCAAAGATTGATGTCTGTTTATCACACCCACCAATTTTTATCTAGTATTGATTGTTTGCTTTATATAAAGCCTGCCAAAACCGTGCTGTTACAAGGTGGTTTTTTGTTGCGACTTAAGAGTGTTGTCACAATAGCGCTCGGGCCAGAGAGGAACCCAAAGCGTTGCTCTAGCATTAAAGGCAGATATATATATATAAATATATATGTGATAAAATATTCATCAATATAATATACAATCCCACTTTAGGCCATCTATATCAGGTTTGTGAGGAGGCCAGAAGTGAAATGGGCCGGAAATGACCCGCGAACATGGCATCCGGTCCGAGCAGCTGGGTCCAGCCCATAGAGAAATACTGCCATATGGGCCGAACGCGAAGATCCCATCAAAGAGGACCAAAACCCACAGAGGAACTGGCCCGGATCTAGTAGTCCATTAGTGTTTGTAAGTATCTATAAATATGAGAAGGGAGGGGATTCTGTTGAAGTGTAAGAATTCTAGAGAGAAAAAATGGAAATGAATTCCTTGCATCTTCAATTGGCGTCGTCTGTGGGAATCGTTGAAGATTGATTGATCATTGATCAATATCGCGTGGATTCAGACCAATTCGTGAAGACGAAACTCGATCTTTGGGAGTTGGATCCAGATCTGAGCGATTATGACCTATTCTGGAGGAATTTTAGTTCCTGTTGCTTTGACGGAAGTGGCTTCAGATTTACACAACAACGAGTTATTCAATTGTGGCCGGATCTGATGGATTTAGAATTCGGAAAATTCAGATCTCGTCAACCGTAAGCATAATTCGGAGAATTCGAAACTAGATGTGAAAAATTCGCGCTTATGAAGCTCAGATCTACTCAAGAACTTGAGATTAATGCCTTTACTCCGTTCAGGAATAATGATAGGTGAAAGCTCCAATCCGATGGAGGCTGTCCAGCAAACGAAGCTTAAGGAGTTGATGAACTTGATCGAAGCTCTCAAAAAAGAGAATGCAGAATTGAAAGCTGGAATGCAGCATCAACAAATACCCGCGGTTCCGCGTCCACTTCCGGCCGGTGAAGGAGGTATTCAATCTAATATCACACATCAAGGCGAGCAGGACGAGAACAATCAGTCAGCTCTCCACCGTGATGAAAGGAGGATGGACGATTTGCCGCCAAATGTTTGTCGAGTTGAGGATCACGAAGGATCGACTCACATTGATCCGCGACATGAACAGATTAGACAGAACGAAGCCATGACCTTCGATCCGTATCAGGAAAGGTTCAACTGAGAGGAAGTGATAGAGGTTAATCGCCGCCGAGTTGTATCGCCTTGGCAAAGAGAGCTCATTGAGGAACGGTCGTTCGATCCGTCTTACCGACCCTCCATGGCTACAATCACTCATCGCGGTTCAGAGAGCAGATCTGTAGCTCATAGAGCTACCGCTGGGCTCCAGAGAGAGAATGAAGCACTCCGATCCGCGGCTCGGACGGTTGATTTACCATTCACTGATGAGATCCTGAATGCTCCGCATCCAAGGAAGTTTGCCATGTCAGTCTTTATTCTGTTTGACGGAATAACCGATCCGATCGATCATGTGTACCATATCCAGTTGAAGATGGCTCTGAATACGGAGAACGACTCTTTAATGTGCAAATGTTTCCCTACAAGTCTAGCCAGACCGGCGCTTAGCTGGTTCAAGAACTTGCCTAGGGGTTCCATTGATAGCTTCCGGAACCTGTGCGATTGGTTCATAAGCCAGTACTATGGGAACAAGCGTCCGCCGAAGGACATCTCAAGCCTATTCACAATGAAACAGCACAAAGATGAACGTCTCCAGGCTTTTCTCACCAGGTTTAACCTCACTAAGAGTATGGTGATCGAATGCCACCCTTCTACAGCGGTTCAAGCCTTCAAGTTGGCCATGACACGTGGCACTCTGTTCCATACCAGTCTGGTAGTGAACACGCCGACGACTATGGATGAACTCAATGAAAGAGCCGATGGCTTTGTGCGCCTAGAAGAAGAGGAGGCAGCCAATGCTCGGACAGCGTCGGTCGTGTCGACCGAGGAAAAGTCCAAGTTAAAGATCAGGCAAAAGCAGGCTCTGCCGCAACGTCAGACCTCTTGGAAGGCAGAAAAGAGGTCCAGGGAGGAAGAACTAATCACTCCGTTGAAGGTCACTCTGGCGAGGCTATATCAGGAGAACAAAGATAAGTTTCATCCACCACTGCCAATTAGGCAACCCCTCGAACAGAGGGATTAGACTAAACATTGTGCTTTCCATTCCGATTTCGGTCATCAGACTAACGAATGCAGGAATTTGAGAAGGCAAGTGGAGATGTTGATAGCTAGAGGGGAGTTCGCGAGTTATGTTCAAGGCTCGGCGATAGAACAGAATTGACCGATGGAGCAAGTAAAAAGGAGTCAAAAACAAAACTCCCACAATTCACAGCTAGTTCGTATAATCAATGCTATTCACGGTCGACCCGAGCCTAGCGAAGACTCAGATGAGCTACTCCGAACGCACCTACGGCAGGCGCAGATGAAGAAAAGGGTCAGCAGTGTGAATACTCTGCACCAACAGATCACATCGATACAGATAAAGTTTGACAGGACAGACCTGCTACGTGTTCAAATCCCCCATGAAGATCCGTTGGTGGTCAGCTTGATAGTGGCAGACTGCCTGGTGCGCAGAGTTCTGATCGATCCCAGAAGTAGTGCGAATGTCATGCCGAGGGACACATTTGATCGGCTCGAGATTAAGCCAGAGAGGCTCAAGCCCACTGGAAATCCCCTGTTAGGATTTGATGGTAAGAGGGTGGAGCCCATCGGTATGGTGGAAGTAGAAGTTCAAGCTGCAGAACGAGCTCTTATAGAAACTTTTGTGGTTGTGGAGATTCACCCCTCGTACAATCTCCTGATGGGAAGAGGATGGATTCACAGAGTCCAAGGTGTGCCCTCAACTCTGCATCAGGTCATGAGGTGCCTCGGACCCGACGAAAATAAGGTGATAGACATTCATGGGGATCAGGTTGCAGCCAAAGAGTGTTATTCCGTCACACTAAAATATGCTGGGAAACGGAAGGCGCCCATCCGTTCGGCGAGCCCAAGATAGCAATTACAGGAACCTCCGCCCAAGCAGAATAGGGTGGAGGAGCCAGTTAACTTGACCGAAGAGCCCCTTCTGGATGTACAGATTGATCAGTCCAAGCCAGAGCAAACTACCAGAGTAGGAGTAAGACTGACCAGGGAAGAGCAGCAAGAGCTAATTGACTTCTTGTCTCACAATGCCGATGTATTTGCATGGAGTCACCTAGACATGCCTGGAATTAATCCCTCCGTATCCTGTCATTCCTTGAATGTCAATCCCAATTTCAAACCAGTAAAGCAGAAGCAACGAAGGTTTGCTCCAAAACATAACCAGATCATAGCCAAGGAGGTTGATAGGCTGCTCGATGTGGGATTCATCAGGGAAGTGCACTATCCTGATTGGTTGTCCAACGTCGTTGTCGTGCAGAAGAAGAATGGGAAATGGCGAGTATGCATTGATTTCACCAATTTAAACAAAGCCTGTCCGAAGGATAGCTTCCTGCTGCCTAAGATTGATCAAATGGTGGATGCCACCACCGGGTATGAGCGTTTAACCTTTCTGGACGCTTATTCAGGTTATAATCAAATCCCTATGGACTCGGCAGATGAAGAAAAAACTTCTTTTGTTACCGAGCGAGGAACATACTGTTACAAAGTTATGCCTTTCGGACTGAAAAACGTGGGAGCAACTTATCAAAGGCTTGTTAGCAAAATTTTCAAGGATCAAATAGGAAAGATTGTGGAAGCCTATATTTATGATATGGTGGTAAAGAGTAGGAAGAAGGATGATCATCTGAAGCATCTGCAAGATGTATTTGATGTGCTGAGGCGATATAGGATGATGCTCAATCCAACCAAGTGCTCGTTCGGTGTGAGTTCCGGTCAATTTTTGGGACACGTGGTCAATCGCAGAGGCATCGAAGCTAGCCCTGCTCAAGCAGAGGCTTTGATTAAGAATGCCGAGCCAAAGACGATCAAAGAAGTATAAGCCCTCACAGGACGAATAGCTGCATTAAGTCGATTCATTTCTAAGTTGTCAGACCGTTGCAAGCCGTTCTTTGACACGATCCGGAGTCATGGAAGACAGGTCTGGGGGGATGAACAACGACAAGCATTAACCCATTTAAAGGAATATATGCAGAATCCACCAATCCTGTCAGCCCCGGATCCAGAAGAGAAATTATATCTATATCTCGGAGTATCTAGTGTTGCGACAAGTGCCGTTCTGATTCATTGCAAGGAAGGGATGCAACACCCGGTGTTTTATGTCAGTAAGACAATGACCGAGGCAGAACGAAGGTACTCGAAGGCCGAATGAGTGATACTTTCACTCGTAAACGCAAAAAGAAAGTTGAAGCATTATTTCGAATCCCACCCTATAGCTGTTCTAACAACTTTTCCAATCAGAGTGCTTATGCACAAGCCAGAACTCTCGGGCAGAATGACAAAATGGGCCATAGAGTTAAGCTCATTTGACATAACGTATGAGCCGAGAATGGCTGTCAAAGGACAAGCGGTAGCCGATTTCCTGCTAGAATGTGACTCTGAGGATACGGAAGAAGACTTTAGATGCGGCTCTTGGAAACTTTATGTGGATGGCTCCTCTAATCAGATGGGGGCAGGAATTAGGGTTAAACTGCAAACCCCAGAGGGTATTTCTTTGAGTCAATCACTCAGACTTGAGTTCCGAGCCACCAATAATGAAGCGGAATACGAGGCGTTGCTGAATGGGTTAAAGTTGGCCAGAGAGCTACAGGTCAGAAGTTTGACTGTTTACAATGACTCACAGTTGATTGTTCGGCAGGTAAATGGTGAGTACGCGACCAAGGATGACACGATGGAGGCATATCGTTCTGCCGTTCTGCATAAAGCCAAGGACTTTGCAAAGATTGAATTCATACAGTTACCGAGGAAACATAACGCACATGCCGACCGGTTAGCATGTAGTGCTTCGAGCTCTGGCAAGACATTGGCGAGGGTGATTCCAATAGGAATACTGACCCAGCCATCTATTTTTGAAGAACCTTTAGACTCTGAACCTTGGCAAGTCAATGTCATACCGTATGAACCGAGTTGGATTGACCTCATCATCACTTATATTCGAGATGGCGTTCTGCCTATGCAAAGGGATGAAGCTAGGGAAATCAAAAAGAATGCTGCAAAGTACGCCATAGTGCATAACCAGTTGTACAGAAGATCATACTCTGGCCTATACTTGAAGTGTGTCACCCCCACAGAGGCTCGGCAGGTGTTGCGAGCTATTCATGAAGGCGTATGTGGAAATCATTCTGGGGGAAGATCGTTAGCGCACAAAGCAATGACACAAGGGTATTTCTGGCCGAACATGTCAAGAGATGCGAAGGAGTTCTCTCGAAGGTGCGATAAATGCCAACGGTATGGACCATTGATCCACCAACCACCTGAGGAATTGCACGTAATGGCCTCACCATGGCCTTTCGCGCAATGGGGGATGGATGTGGTTGATCCTCTACCAACTGCGAGAGCTCAGAACAAGTATGTGCTACTGGCCACAGATTACTTTACTAAGTGGGTGGAAGCAGAACCATATCCGATAGTGACTCAGACTCATGTGAGACGATTTATCTGGAGCCATATTATTTGCCGTTTCGGCATTCCAAGGTTAATAGTCATGGATAATGGCACGAACCTCGACAGCAAGCAAGTAAGAGAGCTGCTGGAGGAGTATGGAATTAATCAGAAGTTGGCTGCACTAAGTCATCCCCAGGCCAATGGACAAGCAGAAATTACAAACAGAACAATTTTCGCCTGCATTAAGAAGAAGCTGGAGGACCATAAAGGGAAGTGGTTGGATGAACTCCCGAACGTCCTATGGGCTTACAGAACCACCCCAAGGCGGCCGACTGGGGAGAGCCCATTTGCAATGGCGTATGGTACCGAGGCGGTTATACCGGTTGAGCACTTGGTCCCAACTATCAGAAGCTTAGCATGGAGTCAAAGTCAGAACGACAGAATGTTAAGATTGAACCTCGATATGATAGACGAAAAGAGGGACGCTGCAGCAATAAGGCTTGCATCATACCAGCAAGTATTGGCGAATAGTCACAACCAAAGAGTGAAACACAGAGATTTTGCCCCTGGCGATCTGGTTCTGAAAAGAAAGGTGGGGATAGTAAAAAAAATGATGCCACCCTGGGAAGGCCCATACAGAATTGCAGAAGTCATAGGGAAGGGGGCATATACATTGGAAACCATGGCAGGAAGGTTGGTCAACAAGCCCTGGAATGCTACGTCTCTGAAGAGGTACTATCAATAAAAGCTAAGTTTCAATGTTATCGGATGTTGTTTGTTCTCAATCAAGTACGTATGAACGTGCAAATTCCTGAGATTTATAAAAATTGCTTTCCTTTTCAAGGGGATAAAAAAAAGTGGATGAAAAAATGAAAAAGTAAAAAGGCCAAGTGGCAAGTGGCATTCTAGCCGAGCGCCAGGCACTTAAGCAAGATAAGTGGCAGCTGGCACCATAAGCCGAACGCCAGACACTTGCTAAAAAATGAAAAAGCCAAGTGGCAAGTGGCATTCTAGCCGAGCGCCAGACACTTAAGCAAGATAAGTGGCAGCTGGCACCATAAGCCGAACGCCAGACACTTGCTAAAAAATGAAAAAGCCAAGTGGCAAGTGGCATTCTAGCCTAGCGCCAGGCACTTAAGCAAGATAAGTGGCAGCTGGCACCATAAGCCAAACGCCAGACACTTGCTAAAAATGAAAAAGCCAAGTGGCAAGTGGCATTTTAGCCAAGCGCCAAGCACTTAAGCAAGATAAGTGGCAGCTGGCACCATAAGCCGAACACCAGACACTTGCTAAAAATGAAAAAGCCAAGTGGCAAGTGGTATTCTAGTCGAGCGCCAGGCACTTAAGCAAGATAAGTGGCAGCTGGCACCATAAGCCGAACGCCAGACACTTGCTAAAAAATGAGAAGCCAAGTGGCAAGTGGCATTCTAGCCGAGTGCCAGGCACTTAAACAAGATAAGTGGCAGCTGGCACCATAAGCCGAACGCCAGACACTTGCTAAAAATGAAAAAGCCAAGTGGCAAGTGGCATTCTAGCCAAGCGCCAGGCACTTGAGCAAGATAAGTGGCAGCTGGCACCATAAGCCGAACGCCAGACACTTGCTAAAAAATGAGAAGCCAAGTGGCAAGTGGCATTCTAGCTGAGTGCCAGGCACTTAAGCAAGATAAGTGGCATCTGGCACCATAAGCCGAACGCCAGGCACTCACGCACACGACAAAGTCAATATAAATATATATATATATTTATTTATTTATTTATTTATTTATATTGAAAGTGGGTTTGAACAGAGCATAGCACAAAAAAAAAAAAAAAAAAAAAAGTTTTATCATCTCATTCATAATAAGCATTGAGGTTACAAAAAATGAAGCATTCAAATCACATAACTACAAAAGAGTATGAAATCAAGGTATCTGGAAGAGCCCTAGCTAGCTGCCTCAGTACCGACAGCCTCCTGGTTGTGCTGACCCACCTCCTCGTTCCCGTTAGCCATCTCACCCTCACGAGGTGGGGAATCGAGATGAATAACAGAGTCGCTCTGCTGGGGCCCAACATCAGCAGTGACTACGGGAGATACCACAGTTGACGAAGGAAGAGCGATTAGAGGTTGAACGGTAGAAGGAGCTGTAGTGATCCTGGAGGAAGCAATCTCCTGACACTCATCAAATATGTGCTCGGCTTCGGTGGATTCTGGGTCAACATAGACCCCCAGAGGGTCAATCCCTAGATCCTTATCAATTTCATCCGGAGTTGAGCTGGTCTAGCCCTCAACCGGAACTCGGTCGGAGAAACAATCTCAGAATCCCTGAGCATATCTAAGAGCTCCAACTCTTGAGAACCAAGCATGAAGAGCCAGCATTCCACCATTCACTCTGCTAATGGTGTCAATCAGAGCGTTGCGCTCGTCTAGAGCTCTTTTCTCAAATGCCATCCGAGCAGACTGCTCGTCAGCCAGAAGGCGCTGGAGCTCTGCCTTTTCATCTCTGATTGAATCGCGCTCAGTCTGCCAAACACTCTTCTCAAGCTGGAGGGCATCTTTTTCATCCTGAAGAGAGTCGGCTTCCTTCTTCAGAGCATCTCTTTCTTTTTTAGCTTTTTCAAGCCGAGCCAATATCTCGGTGTTCTTACTGGCAAGAATATCGTTTTCCTTATTAGCCACATCCAGGCTATCAAAGAATTTACGGGCCCTGGCGTTCCCCATTTCCACCTGTTTCTGCATAGCCATCATACCGAACAAAGTCTGCATAGATATGCATGAATACTGGTTAAACCGATCGCCTGGTCGGACGAAGGCAAGAGCAAATATTATGAGAAGATTCATGAGTTAGAAAATAAAATTCACCTCCATGGCAGATTGGGGAAAGCGGCTGAACACATCCTTTTGTGACAGACCCTTCGCTGCGTCAAGGTCTTTTGGAGTCCACATGCTCCTATAGTACGCCATGGCGGTCTGGCCATCCTTGAACATGGTCTCGTTCGGCTTCACGAACGTCCTATCCATTTGGGTGTATCGAGGAGCCCATGGTGGTAAAACAGGAATAGAAGCAGAGGCAGAAGCTGAAGCTGAAGCAGAGGCAGCAGGCCCGGAGGGGGCAGGAGCTCTGACTGGGCGATGCAAGAGAGCGCTCGGCCTAGAGACTCGGGTCCTCCTTGTAAGAGATTCCTCCTCGGGATTGACTCCACCGTCATGATGAGGTCTTTTGCCTCGCTCTTTGTCCCGGGCACCCCCAGCAGCAGCAGGGGTAGTAATGATCTGTGGAGATGTGCTCGGGTTGGTAGCAGGGGTGCTAACAACAGGATCAATAGCCACCGTACTCTGGATAGTGTCAGAGATGGTGGCTGAAGAGGAGGCTGATGCGGGAGAGGAGGTTACTCCAGCAACAGTAGTGGCTGGGGGAGGATTTTTCCTCCTACCAAAGGAAGGAATCTGAAGCCTGCTCATTGTATAGCCGAGGGATGAGAGTGCTAGAAGGTTGTCTGAAGTGAGGAGGTCTGAGCAAGAAGGAATATCGTTCAGAACGTATTTCTTCAAGTAATTACTCTTATCCCTATAAACACTGTAGCTCAAGTCATCACAAGGTATGCCTAAGGATCAACATAAGAAAGTACAAAAGCGAGGAACACATGTTTCGCAGGGACAATCGTTTTTATGAGATTTGAATTTCTTATACGAGGAGACAGAACAGACGCCAAAGGCGCTCGGGATTGGGTAATCCTCTATAGCCGGCGAAGACCAGGCCCCACTAACACCCATAATGTTATCTCTCCAACCCTTTTTAGATTTGATTGTGTCCGTACATATGGACATCTTGTCGATCAGGTAGAGGTGGTAGAATGGCTCATCAGTTCGGATCTTACTGACCTTATAGCAAAGAAGAAGATCTATGAGGTCAAGATCCAGACCTCTGTCACGAATCAGTAGTAACATAACGGATATGATTCTAAAGAAATTTGGGTTTACCTGCAGGGGGGATATCCCCAGTCAATTGAAAACATAGTTAAAGAAGGGATGTAGAGGGAACCTAACGACATTCAGTTGAAGGTTAGTAAATAAAACCTCGCCGGGAAGAAGGCCGGCACGTGTCATTATATTAACATCTCTAGGGCAAACCCTAACTTGGATGTTGTCAGGAAGTCTAAGTCTCATACGAAGAACATCTAGATCTACAACCATGGTGGAAGCGATTGAAGGATCTAAAAGAGTAAAAAGAAGTCTACTGAAAGTAAAAAGGAACAAGACTAACCTCTGGGGTAGAAAGCAGCAAAGAGCACTGCAAGATCGCTGGAAGAATGACTCTTGAAGAATTTCACCGGATGAAATTTAGCACTGTTCTAAAAAGATGAGCGAGAGATTTGACTGATGATGGAGAGAGATGGAGATGGTAAAAAGGCATAAAGTGGCATTCTAGAGCCTTATAAAGACGAAGTGGACCCGAGGGCCGAAGCGTCAGGGAGGCGAGAAGTTTATCGAACCCCGGAACATTGATTCTGGATCCGACCGCCCATTCCCCCATAAGAGTTTCTCTAGCCGTCAACGTCATGATGAGACGCCTTTTGATAATTACCCCCTTATTAAATAAGGAGTAATTATGGGGGCAGTTGAGGAGGCTAGAAGTGAAATGGGCCGGATATAACCAGCGAACATGGCATCCGGTCCGAGCAGCTGGGTCCAGCCCATAGAGAAATACTGCCATATGGGCCGAACACGAAGATCCCATCAAAGAGGACCAAAACCCACAGAGGAACTGGCCCGGATCTAGTAGTCCATTAGTGTTTGTAAGTATCTATAAATATAAGAAGTAATGGATAGAGAAGGGAGGGGATTCTGTTGAAGTGTAAGAATTCTAGAGAGAGAAAATGGAAATGAATTCCTTGCATCTTCAGTTTGACTCTCTAAAAATGTCACATCATCTTACAATCTCACTTTAGGCCATTTACATTAGCCTCTCTAAATTTTGACTCTCTAAAAATGTCACATCAGCTTTTTCAAGAGTTACGTCAGCCGTTTTCGCTCTCCAAAACACATGCACTCCATCAGGCTCTCTGAAGTTTGAGAGAGGTTTGTTGCAAACGGTGCTGTTTTGACCCAAGAAAAACAAAACAAAAAAAAAATTCCATGATCGCAGGCCAGCTCACTGAATATCGCGAGCAGACTCGCGAGCAAAATTGGGCCCCACCAATTTAGCCATACCGTTGCACGCCTAAAGGCCCTTCACGCTCGCGGAAAATGGGCTTTCGCTATACCAGCGGGGCCCAATTTTGCTCGCGAGCCGGCCTGCGATCGTTGAATTTTTTTTTTTGTTTTTTCTATGTCAAAACGGCTCCGTTTGCAACAAACCTGTTTTGTTTTTTTCTCCTGCTCCTGAAACAGTGCGCTGAACAGTGCCTTAAGGCACTGTTTGGCAGATTTTTTTTTTTAAAAAAAAAAAAAAAAGACCTAAAAATAGGTTATTTTGAGCTTTTTTTTTTTTAAATAAAAAATAAAATAAAATTCATTAAATAAAAAATATATTGTTTAGGCATTGTTTGTCAAAAATAAATTTTATTTTGGCCAAAAATAAATTAAAAAAGTTTTTTTTTTTCGCTTTAAATTTTAAATGTGTACCACAAATAATGCATTTGGCCGTTAAGGTTGGCTGACACAAATAGTGCCTTAACGGCTATAATTTTTTAAAATATATATATAATTTTTTTTTTAAAAAAAAATTTGTAAAAAAAAAAGTAAAATTACAAATTCATCTACTTATTCCCATAGGATTTTGTAATACTTATTTTCTTATTCCAATTCATTATTTTTAATCTTAAAAAACCATTACATAATAAAAATTCTAGTACACGAAATGTCATAATATCTTAAAAGCAAACAAAATACAACATAAATTAAACATCTTCATTCGCTATTTAATCTTTAAAAACCATTACATAATAAAAATTTTAGTACATGAAATGTCATAACATCTTAAAAGCAAACAAAATACAACATAAATTAAACATCTTCATAGCGGTTCTACAAATTTTCCATCAAATCATTCCTCAACTGCGTATTTGTCTCTCTATTGCGAATCTGAAGTTGGCGAGAGGATATGTGTATCACTAAAACCGATGGGCATCGAATATAGTCGTTACGAATATAGCCGTTTAGAAAAAGTAAAAAATAAAAAATAAAAAATAATTTAATTTTTTTTTTATTATTATTTTTGGAGAGCGAAAATTCGGAGAGCATGATGGAGTACATATTTTTGGAAAGCGAAAACTGCTAACGTGACTCTTGGAATTGCTGACGTGGCTCTTGAAAAAGCTGATGTAGCATTTTTAGAGAACCAAAATTCGGAGAGACTGGTGTAGATGACCTTAGCATAGAATAGGGAATAGGGTCTTCAGACTTGACTGTAAAAAGAAGTTTCAAGCTAGACACGAAGGTGTGATAACTCATGAATAATGAATGGTTGAGAAATAATGACAGCGCTACAGGAACGATAAAGAAAAAGAAGATTTGATGGAAAAATGACATAGAGAAAAGATTCAGTTCTCTTGTGGGTGTAGGATTATACTTTGATTCAACACAAGTGCCATTGGACTACCTGGTAAATTACATGTCATATAGAGACCAGACCATTAGTATATATACGTGTGTGCAGTGTACAAATATATATATATATATATATATATATATATATATATAGAAAACATTAAATTCAGCCCAGGGAGCTATTTAGGATTAATAATGCACGTATTGAAAAAGTTTAAATTAAAAATAAGTTGTTTTTTTCTCTATTTTTTTTCTTTTTTGCATTTATCTCAACACTCTATATTATATGATTTTAGTGTTAATGAAAGTGTAAGAGCAGGTGAGTTTATAGCAAAAGATCACCAAACATGTACAACAGAAAAAGCATGGCAACATATCTTAGAGCGCGGATCCGAACTCCATAGCCCATGGTGCTTAATTTACCTTTCAACACAAAAGGAAATAAAATTAATTAAATAAATAAACAATAAACAAAGGAACATAGAAAGTTGTGTGGTTAGGGCAGGAATTCTCTTGTGTGCGGCTAGAGATGGCAATTTGACCCGCCCCACCCCGCCCCACTTTTGGCGGTTTTGGGGGACCGTTTTGCTTATTTGGGAGGGGATGGTTTGATTCAATAAAAACCCGCACGGATTTGGTACGGGGGCGGGGGGAGGTTGCCCGGCATCGCCCCGCCCTGTTTAAATAGGCAAATTATTTAAGTACCCTTTATTACATTAGTATATATATTTTCTACTATATATTATGTACCCTATATAATAATATTAAAGTAACAAATGAATTTTATTAAAAGGAAAGTTGCAATGGTAAAGAATTGAAGATAAGGGGAAAAAAAAAAGAGCAAATCCATTTCAACAATAATTAAATTATGGTCTTAAACAGGGCGGGGCGGGTACCCACGGGGGTAAAAAATGTTAAAAGGTTACGAGGATGGGATGAAAAGTTCGCCCTTTTTGAGATTTTGGGCGGGGACGAGGACGGGGTTTTTAAACTGTTGCGGGGACGGGGGAGGGTACACCCGCCCAAACACGCCCCCGTTGCCATCCCTACCTGTGCCTGTTCCTGTCGGTTTTGATCTGTGGCCCAGATAGAACCACGTCAATTAAAAAAAAATTGGGTTGAAAAAGTTACCCTCAGTTAATTACCACTACAAGAATTAAGGGTATTGGTAACAGTCCTTTAGGGACAGTAAAAAAAACTGTCCCTAAAGACACCCCTTTTGGGGACAGTCCTAAACGTTCCGTCCCTTAAAGACCCCTTTTGGGGATAGTCCCAACCTTTCTGTCCCAAAAAGAACAAAAAAATGAAATCCCCGATGGCGGCAAGCGCCATATTTTGTGAAACTATATTTTTTTTAATAAAAAAATTATCAAAAATAGTCTTTTGGGACGATAAACTATCCCTAAAGACACTATGTTTTTTTGGTACAGTTCATAAGTTACCATCTCTAAAGCCTAAAAAAAAAAATTCTCCCAAAAAATCTGCTGGTGGGAAATATAGCGCCAGGTAATTTTATGGTAATGTGAATTTTTTGTAATAAAAAAAAATTGAAAATGCTTTTGGGGACGGTAAATTTACTGTCCATGATTCGCTAATAGTAATGCTACCTTCATAAACGACATCGTTTTTGGCTATTAAATATATACGTCTCTGCTTTCTCTCTCAAGTCGAAGATCTACAATGCCCTAACTTTCTCTCTCTCTAATGGCACCTCATGGGGCAAACGATTCTCTCTCACCAGCGATGGCAAAGGGATCGCATCTAGGGTTTCGACCGCCGTCTCGCGGTCGCTGATTATACACTACGGCAAGCGAGCGACGACAGATGCAGCCTACGTGACCAAGCACCTAGTGAAAAACACCGGAAAGGCCGCTTGGATCACCGGCATGACGTTCCTCATCCTCTTCTTGCCA